CTAGGTGTTGGCATGACATGTCAGCAGCCAGGGAGCCACCAGGGCCACTAAGCCATTGGTCCATCCCAGAGCAGAGTGATCCCAACCAGAGTCTTGCTCTGATCTGCACCACCCAGAGCGTGGACCAACTGCCCAGCAGTCGCCCTAAAATCAAGTTTTGCAGGGGGTTCCTGTCTTGCAAAGGATTTTGTCCCAGCAGCAAATATGTTGAGGAGGATTTATGAGTCTGAGAACTTCTGGCAGGGTTGTTTTTTCTCTGCAGTTATTGTTTGTTGTCAATTCATTGTAGCTTTGAATAAGCTTTGGATTCCCTGATCGTGGGTGTGATGGAGAAGCACGGGAAGCAGCCCTGGGCCTGGGTGGGACACAGGGGTTGGCTGCCTGTCCCCACTGCCCCTCGGTCACAGGTCAGCAATGCAGAAGGAGGACAGGCAGGCAGCAGCACAGCTTGCCAACCCTGGCAGTCACCCCAGCCGAGTCCTAAACACCCACGGAGCAGGGGCCACCCCTGGCACGCAGCCCTGCAGCCATGGCCGGAGCCCTGTGTCCCAGCCACTGGCACTGCTGGCTGTCAGTGACCTGGAGCAGCCGCTGGCACAGGCTGGACAACCCAACAGACTCATCTGAAACACACTGTGCCATTTTTTGTTGAGACAGATGGACAAATACCAGGGACTGCAACTGCACAAAGCAGCCACAGTTGGCCCTGGTTTGGATGTGAACCTGCACAGGGAAAAGCAGGACCACTGCTACCAACATAGAGAAGTAATACAAATGTACAAGTTGCAGTCATTTTCTGAGTAAAGCCTTTTTCTTCACCTTTTCAAGATAGTGCTGCACACACCTGGGACACCCAGTCCTGGGAGGAAAGGCTGGCAGGGGCACAGGGAGAGGAGGGGGCAGCCAGGACTGTGGGGTGAGGGGGTTCTGTCTCTGCCAGCCATGAGGAAGTTCAGTGCAGGCTGGCAGGCGCTGTCACGACAGCTCAACACAGAGGTGCAGGGATGGGTGTCCATGGAGGAGGTGCCTGACATTTGCTGGTGCAGAGGAGCTCTAAAGTGCCAGGAAAATGTTGGCATGGTGATCCAGGGGATCCACTCATTGCCCTGGATGGCTGAAGTGTCAATACATCCCCATCCGAAACATTCATCCCTCAAAAACCTGGCATCCCTCAAAAACCTGCAGCAGAGAAACATCCTGTCAGGAAACATCTGCTCCACACACCTGGAGGAGAATTGATGGCTGATGTGTAGAGGAGTCCCTGCAGTCCCTGTGCCTCGATGGGGACAGGGAAGTGTTGCACACCACAGCAGCTCTGCAGCAATGAGTTTAAAGGTCTGTCCTTCATCTCGAGTTCCTTGGGGGAACCCCTCTGGGTTAAGGTGCAGAAAATAGATGTTTAAAAAGCACTGCAGGAGAGGGGGAAAGCTCTCTCCTTTTTCCTGAGAGAAGCAGCTGTAGCCCAGAGGGGCATCTCCTCACTTGCACGCTGAGCAATGCGGGGAGCTGGTGACTCAAAGCCGCTTCCCCTTTTCCTGCTCACGGTCCCCCCGGTGAGTGCTTTGGTAACAAACAAAGCACATTTCGGTTCCTCCGGCAGCCCTCTCTGACGTTCCTGAAACCCAGTGACTCATCTGTAAACAAGCTGAGGGCAGAAACAAATGAAACCTCCCATCAGAGCACAAAGCAGGACCTTGGT